GTAGTCCTATATAATTCCCACCACCAGTTCACCCGTGCACCATCATGGTGCTCTTCCCTCTCCTCATTTTGCTTTTTTAAAGAAAATCCAATACACGCTTTTACCAAAAAGGATAAAATTATATCACTTTATTTCTCCTATAAAGATGTTTAAAACTGTACTTTGTACATTAGCACAAATACATGTTTAGTGTGTGCGCCATTCTTACTTCCTTTTAAAATTCATGTAGCAAATTACTGGTTTTGAAAAGATGTATGGGGCACTGTATTATATATAATATTTCTGAATCAATTATGAAACTACCCAAGTGGTATATTGCTGCTTCTATAAGACCAGGAGTTCCTTTAAGACATTTACCTTACTCAGTTTTTAATCCCAGCTCCCAGAGCAAATGCTTGGTAATGTTTGCTGACCAGCCCATAATAGTGACTTCACAGGGAGAAGTCCTAACTTCATTAGTCTGAAGCTTCAGTCTTTGGGAAAATTATTAAAGTTGAAGTCTTAATTGCCACATAATGTAAAAGGGGTACAGAATAATGGGGTTACCTAGGCATCCGATTAAATATGTAGAAAGCTCTGGTTACATGATCAAAAATATATCTTATCATCCTTAGCAATGACCACTAATAATTACTAGTAGTAATGGTAGAACATGTAGGACTGGATAATTGGAGGTCTGGCCAACTCTGGAACTGTATTTAGTGTTGGCTGTCCTTTCACCTTCCTCCCCCACCCCCCTTTGCTGCTGTTCCAGCTTTGGTGAAATTACACAGTTTGGAATGCAAGGTTATAGCAGAGGAACTTTAGGCTGTTATTTACATTTTGTGACTAAGGAATTCAAACCAGAGGTTGCAAGTCAGAGCAGGCAGGGCTTGGGACATGCTGTTCCTGGGTTCACACACTAAATAATACTGTCAAGGTACCAAAACCCCAGGGATCTAGTTGTTTCTTATAGTAGAGAGAGACAAGGAGGGAGAGAGAGAGATTGGTTAATTCAGTGTTCAACTGTGACCATCTGGGTCCCTTACATTGTTTTTCCTAGCACTGGAGAGCAGCAATCATTTGCACTATCTCTGCTTCTGAATGGTGGGTAGATTATATTGGTATACATTTTTTTTTTAACTAGATTGTATTTCACTCATGTCAGTATAATTTCTACATAGCTGTCTCAATTAATGCTATCTGTGGGGCCTGTGAGAAATATTTAAAATGATAGACTAAGCAAACTGAGTCTTATTTTTGTAATGATTTTAAGTTTTGACTACTCTTTTCTGTCTTGGCTACAGGACTGGAATTCTGGGCTTTGTTTTCCCCAATGCATGTTAAGTAGGCCAGTGAAAAAATTATTGAATTGTAATCACAAAGTCACACCCTATGCCTCCCCATCTACTAGCATGTATATACATAAGACACAGAACTATTTTCTATAGACATAAAGGACTAAGTAAACTACTCAGGATGCTTTGGGCATTTATCCTGTAATAGAAGAGACATATATAGATGAAAGAAATGGCAATATAGAAAGAAGATTAAAGATATACTATAAGACTTTATTACTCAAAGTGTAGTCCAAGGATTGGCATTACCTGGGCGTTGTTGGAAATGCAGAATCTGTCTTTGCTGCAGAGCTACTGAACCAAAATCTGCGTTTTGCCAAGATTCTAGGCATTTTATCTGTATATTTACTTTTATTGAGTATAGGCAGAAGGGTTAGAAGAGTGTAGGTAATCTCTTTTAGTTGTTATCGCAGGATTTCGTGAAGGAGCCTTAAAGGAGAGATTTTGTGGCTAGGAGATTACCCTGGGAAAAGGAAGGAAGGAAGAAGGATGGCATTTTGAGTGATCACATATATGAGGACATAGGATTCTTGTAGATCTGTACAGCCATTGGGGAGCCAAGAGTGCTTTGGATCAGAATGTCAGATTAGCACTTAGAGTTTTCAAGCTAGGCATTAGCGATCCAAGAAATATATTTATATATTTATATATGAGAATGTATGTCTCAGAGGTGAAAAAGAGCTTCCTGGTCCTTTGCTTCATTGCCTAGTATGAGCAGCGCTGTGCTTTAGGAAGAGAAATCTTTCTAATGTCTTTGGGGGATGCTTTGGTGATTTGATTTAGAAGGTAAGGAATGAATAGCATTGTGGCAGTGAGGATGGCATGAAAGGGAACAGATTAGAGAGATTGCAAAGGGAATCAAGGGAAGGCAAGGTTTGGTACACAGGCGAAAAGAGACAGGTAGCAGGGAGGATGATCACACCATTCGTGATAGAGCCAGGAGAAAGAGTACCAGTGTCTTCAAAAGGGAAGATGATGTTTGGTTTCTGGACATGTTTGATATGCTAACAGAACACCTAGGGAGACCTGCCCACCAGTTATTCAGAAATGGGTATTGGAACTCATAAGAGAAATTGGAGATGGATGCAAACATTGGAACATCTCTGCACTAAGGTTATGGTTAAGTTGGGGTTGTAGAGAAGATATCCAAGGCAAGATGACCTCAAGAGAGGAGGAACACAGCATGGCAGGTTTATGGAGAATAGAGTGATAAAGTCCTATTTTCTAAGCACTTGTTTTCTTACCTCATTGTGTGAAAAGGCACACAGAGGGCATCTTTCTTCTTTTGTTGACTGTCATGCTCTATTGAAAGACAGTAAGCATTCCTTGTAGACATTAAGGTGTTCCTTAATGACTTAGCAAACAGTTTCGGAACTACAGCTAGTCCCCACAAGTATACCCATGAGTAAATATTATAAGTCAGCCATAGTTTTTTGTGTTCAATAAGCTCTTTACAAATTTTTTCCCCCTCCAGTTTGCAAGTATTATGTTTTCTTCCATTGTCTGTGTGGAAGTTTCTCACCTTAATATTCTGCTATGGCAATTAGACACACAATATGGTTGAAAGACTTTTTATTGAGTACCTCTATACCTATCATCTAGATTCTGACATTAATATATTACTCTAACCTCTCTATCACATACTTCTCCACATATCCATCCTATGTAGAGATTTTTGTAAAAACATAATTGTGATTGTATGTAAAATTTATTCACTGATTTTCAGTGAATATCAAAGCAAAAAGATTCCCACAGTTCTCAAAAATTTTCATAGATGTTGTTTAAAATGATTTAAAATGTCATCAAATATTTCATCTGATATATTTTATTATTCCAGAGGTAACTTAACATCCTGCATCTTAGGGTTTTTCAGTTACTAATCTTTATGCTAAATTCTTTTCAGTTTTAAAGATTTCCTAAAGAGTGATAACTTCATAGACATGGAAGCATTAGTAGATCAAAGGATAAGAATATTTTTAAGAATTTAGATACTTGTTACCAAGTTGTTTTATAGCAACCAAGCCCACAAAAGTCAAACCAGTGTGTCTGAGTGTTTGCTTGAAAATATCCCAGTCAAGTTGGTATATCATTGAAAAATATATAAAAATTCATTAATATTAACTTGAGGGCTTTGGAAGAGTCTGGTGACTGCCTTCCTCCTTTCAGAAGTGTTTGCTTCTAGGTTGATGGTAAATAGAGAAGCTTTTGAATTGGACTGAGGCCTAGCTCATGTTGGTTGAGGAGACCATGGTGAAGAGATTCAGTTCTTCCTCTTTACTGGCTAAAATTATTTTGAAGCAATCTCAAACATATGGAAAAGTTAAAAATACAGTACAAAGACTTTTTTTCCTCAAACCATTTGAGAGAAAATGAACGATTGATGTCTGTTAATATAAACAAAGATAATTCCCTATTGAACTACAATACAACCATCCAAACTGTGAAATTAACATAGGTGCATCAGTGCCATCTAACATATATTTATTCCTCCTTATATTTCACTAAACATTTTACATTATAGCAAAAGGACATGTTCAAAATCATGTGTCACTCTTACTTGTATCAATTGGAACAGTTTCCCACTGATTTTCATGTCCCTGACTGATGTTTCAGAGGATATAGCCAGTTATTTTGTAGAATGTTCCTCAATTTTGTTTTGTTTTTTGTTTTTAAATTTTTTTTCATAACTACATTCATATCACACCTCTTTGACAAATGTGATGCTGTGTTCATTCATTACATCTTATCAGGAAGCATAGAATTTTGATTTTCTGTTACTGATACTATTCACTTTGATGACTTATTTAAGGTGGTATTTCCTAGGCTTCTCCACTATAAAGTCACTCATTTGTAACTAGTTAATATTTGGGGAGATATTTTGAAACTATATAAATATCCTATTTCTTATGAATCAATATCTTGTCTACCCATCTTTTATTTACATACCAATCACCTGTTTCATTATGGATTTATGGTTTTCTATTTCGTTTATACTTGGGGTAAGGGTGTGAAGGAGGGGGCAAAGAGAACTAGTGACTCTAGCTGGGGAGGTGTGGGGAGGTGTGGGAAGGAGTGTGCCCTTCTGCCAGGGTTAGCCACAAGATTTTCTTTCCGGAGCGCTTGTTCAGGAAACCATAGGAATGACAGAGGTTTCCAATTGGCTTCCAGGTGGAGAAGAGGTAGGGCAGGCAACAGCAAACCTGGGTATAATGGACAGTTTGTTCAAAATAATCTTTGCTCCCTCTATAAATTCTACAAAGTATCTTGTTTTATTTTGTACTAAAAATATATGACATGTGGGCCTCCCTGCTGGTGCAAGGGTTTAAAATGCAACCTATGAAGCTATCTGCAGCCACTGAAGCACGAGTTCGATCCTCCGTCAGGGAGCTGACCCACATGGCTCAGCAGACCTTTCCTGACTCACCTGCTGCTAAGCAGTGTATTTCAGTTATTCTACCTGTTCTGCTCCCCGCTCTGTCTCTGGTGAATCCTCTCACCCCCCACACCTCTGGCCTATACCCCAATTCTTGTATGCATAAATAAATCTTTAAAAAATATATACAACATGTATAACTTAGTTTTAGAAAGAAATTTGGTGTCAGTTTTCCTAGCTCTCTGTTATTGTCTCATGTACCATTAATTTTTAAATTTTATCTTTGATAGCTACCACTATATTTGAAGCTGGAAAGGACAAAGGTAATCCAGATGAATTTGCAGAAGCACTTGATGAAACTCTTGGAGACTTTGCTTTCCCGGATGAATTTGTCTTTGATGTTTGGGGAACTATCAGTGATGCCAAACAAGGACGACTATGATGTGGATGATTCGTCTCTGGAGAAATGAACCATTTTTCCTTAAAAACAAAACAAAGTAGTAAAATCTGCTTTTAGGAACCATTGTGGACTCTAGTTTGGTTATATGTGTTTGGAATATATTCTTTGAGATACAATTTCTAGGTAGTTTTTAATGTAGTTGCATATGTACTATGCTTAAGATAAATTACTTAAAATATGGTCAATTTTAATACTCATTCAAAAGTCTTTGTTAAAGTAAGTTTCATGGGAGCCTTTCTAGATTTATGATTTTGTCACTCTCCATTGACGCTCATGCTCTGTTTTCCACATATTAAGGAGTAGATTTTTGTAGCTTTGTAGATTTCCTTTTAGAAAATCTTAGTGCAATGAAAATTAGGATTAGAGTATGATTTGCATTGCATCTGCATTTTGTTATATTTGTTTGAATGAATGTTCAGGAAGTGAAATGTGAATTATGTCTACTGTATATCTACAAGTGTCATTAATTCACTAAGAGGATGATTCCTCGAGCCTGATGGTGTCAATGGCCCACATTCTCTTTATAAATCAAAGATTGCTTGATGTGATATTTCTTTGTGTCTTAAAAACTGTTCATATTTGTTGTATATGTGTTTACGTGTGTGGAAGGGGGGTGAAATAGGGGCAGATGGGGTAGTAAGCACTTATATTTGTTTTTTTTTTAGTGGTTCATTTCTTAAAACATTATTTCTTTTCCACCCATACCTACTTTTCTGTTACCATTTATAAGCACTGCAGGGAGGTTTTATAGCCTTTGTAGTATTTTTCTTTTGAAAGATATTCACTCAGAAAATAACTATGTTTGAGAACATTTTCCAGGTTAAAGAGCAATGCTTTTAAGCCTCCGAAAATTTGGAGGAGACACTATCAGAAATAGATTTCCCCCCCAGTGGACACAAAGGAAGGAGAATTGAGAACATTTTTAGCCTATTATTTTAGAGTTTTAACACACACTCTCTAAAACCTTACATTATTGAGAAAATTGAAGGTAAACGACTGTCTTATCACTCTTATTTGACATTTTACAGATATAAGGGAAATGGAAATGAATGGTTTCAACATAGATCATTTAATAAGGCAGACCATGGTGTGACCAAGCATTCTTCTAAAGTGTTAGGTGAAAAGTGTACTATGCTGCCATGATGATCAAAAATAATAACCTGTGAGCACCGTATTCTAGGAAATCAGAAGTAGTCTCTTTTCATGCTGGGTTAATGCTTGGATAACTCCTGTTTTCTGGCACAACTTTACCCTCCCCTCTCACATGAGTTTGATGCTATGAAACTGATATTATTTGCCTCATTAGTCTAAAAATCTGCTCAGAAACGGTTTAGTCATTAATGTATGATGAAAGTTTATAGAATGTGGATTATCTTACTGTTTTTGTCCATCATTGGAAAATAGAATCTAGCTCATGCAGTAATTTGTTGCTACTTGTTTTGTGAATGTCTTTCCATGTCCCCAAATACCTAATTCTTAATACCACCTCTCCTGGCAGGACACACACACACACACACACACACACACACACACACACAAACACACACAGCTTGTATATGTAGAGTGGAAATGTTATTGGATAACTTGGAAAGCCCCCAGAAACAGTTTAAACAAAAAACCAAATTTCCTTGCACAAAATGTTAGATTTGAGACGATCATTGTTTATTGTTGGTGGATGTCTATTTCTCTTTCCTTTTTGGGCAAGCTGGACCCTTGGTGCAGACCCTTGTTTGTGGACCCTCATTCACAAAGTGGGTGTGCTCACCATGGTCTTTGTAGAATTCTGATGTGCAGGTTCTAATATCTACATCCAGCTCTCACTATATTTGTCTGTTAGCATTAAATAGCATTATTAAGGGTTTCAGTGGGGCCCTAGTGCTTTAATACTATTAGGTTTTTCCTGTGAAATTGGTATACTAGTGATAAACTAATAACAAGGTCAGTTTCTTTATGTGATTTTGTCCCCATACCCGAAAGTATGTCTATTCACAAATGCTGTGTCTTTTTGTACTTTCAGTGCACAAAAAGAAGCAGGGACTGCTTTTCATTGTCACAGTCTGCAAGTGTGGGCTCCCCTTCTGCTGCTCTAATGAGATAAATCATATTTTAAACATTCCATTTCATTGACACCACTGAATATTTTCAGAAGTACTTGTGTTTTCTCTTGTTCTGTAGTTTTTCTTTTCCCCCAATGGAGGATGATTATTTTACTCTTGATTTCTTTCTGTGCAAAACAGCATCTTTGAGTGGCCACTAAAAGCACATTATATGTTCAGTTTGATTGCAGCAGAGCCTGTAGGTGATGACTGAACACTGGCTTTAGTAGATAGAACAAGCTCAGTCCTGATCATATGTACACATTCTGATGATTATGAATTTTGAGTTTTCTGCAATGTTTCAAGAATATAATTATATGATGTCATAGAATTTTTGAATGGTTCAATTATAAAAAATATAATACAATTTAAAAATAGAAAAATAAAAAAATGAAACTGTCCCAAAAAAGTAAGTTAGAAACAAAAAGGGAGTTAAATTATAAAACCAATAATCAGTTAACCTCTATGTGGGGCACTATATACAATATTATAATGTGGTGGATAACTAATAGAAAAAACTATTTTTCCAAATGATGCGTAACTTGCAATATTTCCCCCCCACCCTGTACCTTTAACAAATACATATTTTCCAAATGAAGAACACTTTTATTTAGCTCCATGTTCTTGTTAGACCTTATCAAGTCTAGAGAGAGCCTTCCAGGTATCCTATCATCATTGTCTACCTAGCATGGTAACAAAATGAATTTCATTTGCAGATGTAGTTTTCAAAGTAATGGTTTTTCCAAATAGAGCATAGTTACCCACCAAAGATATCAAAGATCATATAATGTTCTTTTCCTCTCTGCTATCTCTAAAAATATATGGATATTATTAGCATTGATATTATTCTGATGGAGGTACTAGGTTAGAAGGACTGTTAAGTATTTTTCCCAAGCTATGAGTAAGTCAAAAGATAGGAGGTGCTATTCAGTCACAGCCATGAGTATTAGAGTTCTGTGTATAATGCACATTTATTATCATCTTTTTTTTTTTTGAAGATTTATTTACCTATGCATACAAGAGCTGGAGTACAGGCCAGAGATGCGGGGGCGTGAGGGGATCCACCAGAGACAGTGGGGAACAGTACAGGCAGGTCGACCGAAGCACACTGCTGAGGGGCGCAGCGGGTGAGTCAGGAGAGGTCTGCTGCACCATGTGGGTTGCTCCCTGGCTGGCCGGGGATCAAACTCGTGTTGCAGAGGCTGCGGATTGCTTCATAGTGTGGTGCTTAACCCCTTGCGCCACCAGGGAGGCCCTTATTATCTTCCTGACGCAGATTGAAAGAGACATCAGAGTATTTATAGGTCACCTATCATGGTAATGTTTCTCAGATTGTGAAGTGCACAAGTGGCACAGTCTGTCCCTTACCTGTTACTGAAAATCTAATTCTGAGAAATAACTGATGGTTATTATCTGCTAGGAGGGTGAAGGTTGAATATGACATCTTTATTTCAGTTGGAGACAGTAAGTCTTTTAAGGATAGCCATTGCTATTCAAATTGTAACGAAAAAGGGGACATTTAAAAACCTGATTAAGTATTTTGTTTTGAGCAGTTTGTGTCATGTAATATAGTATTGACTATAGACAAAAATTCACATTTTTTGAAATAGTTTTTCTCTTTTATAAAAATCATAGCATAGGCTTGAAATGTTTTTGAATATTGCATTTTGGAAATCTGTAAATCAATGTATGAAATTGTAAATTATATTTTAATATGTTTAAAATGTATGTAATTCTATTCAGATATGCAAATTGTGTTGATTAAAAATGAATATTTATAAAGCTATAGTAATTTTATGTTTCTTTTTTTTTTTTTTTTTTTTAAATTTTTTTTTTTTTATAGAGGCATGTTATTTATTTATTTGTTTGTTTGTTTGTTTTGTTTATACATGCACTGGGTACAGTCAGAAGCGCGGGAGGGTGAGAGAATTCACCAGAGCCAGAGCGGGGAGCAGAGCAGGCAGAAGGACTGAAGTACACTGCTGAGGGGAGCAGCGGGCGGCAGGAGAGGTCTGCGCGCCATGTGGGACCCTCCTCCAGTGGCCGGGGTGCAGCCGGGGATCAAACTGGCGCTGCAGAGGCCGGTTAGCTTCGCAACCCAGCGCTCAACCGCTGCGCCACCGGGGAGGCCCAATTTTATGTTTCTTAATATTGAAAATATAACAAAATATTTTCATGAAAATGATGTTTTTATCATGACAAAATAAAGATTTAGTGTCTTAAGTGTTAGACTTTTTAGTTTTGTTTAAATGATGGGACTAGTGTGATTGTTCAGACTTTTTTTTTAATAGATTTATTTATTTATACAAGAACCGGGGTACAGGCCAGATGCACGGGATGGTGAGAGGATTCACCAGAGCCAGAGCGGGGAACAGAACAGGCAGACTGATGAAATACACTGCTGGGGGGAGCAGTGGGTGAGACAGGGGAGGTCTGCCACGCTATGTGGGATTCTCGCCGGTTGGCCGGGATCGAACCGGTGCTGCAGAGGCTGCGGGCAGCTTCACAGCGCGATGCTCAACTGCCTGCGCCACCAGGGGAGGCCCTGTTCTGACTTATTTTTTAACACGTCTTTGGTATTTTATTTTTTGAAATATAATTTATATATATCATTAGTTTCAGGTGTACAGCATATTTAAGTTTGTATATATTCCAAAATGATGACCACAATAAATCTAGGTAGCATCCATCACCACACAGTTACATGTTTTTTTCCCTTGTAATCAAATATGCAATGCAGTTTATTAACTATGGTCACCATTCTATTACATATCTAGTACTTATTTATATTATATAACTGGAAAATTATACCTTTTACTCCCTTCTCCCATTTTACCCACCTTCCAACCCCTACCTCTGGTAATCACCAATCTGTTCTTCGTATCTATGAGTTTAGGTTTGTTTTTTAAGAAAAACACTTTTTTAAATTGAACTTAAAAAAATTTTTCTTACATTGTTCATTTTTTGTACAAGATTTGATTTCTCCCCTCAGCTGCAGTTCATAAATCTCCCACCACCACATCACCTGTGAACCATCACCACAGTCCCTTGTACTCTTCCCACCCCTGTTTTAACTTCTCTCCCTCCCACTCCCCTGCTGTATGCCTCAGATCTTTAGTTTGCCTGCAAGGTTTTCTTTTATCCTTTTTTTGGACTCTTTGTTAGGTTTTCCTGTATTCCTCCTATAAGTGAAACCATCAATATTTTTTTTTCCCTTTTGACTTATTTCACTGAGCATGATCTCTTCTAGCTCCATCCATGTTACTTCGGGTGGCATGAGTTTCTCTCTTTGGATGCTGAATAGCATTCCATTGTGTATATATACCACATCTTCTTAATCTATTTTTCTGTTTTGGGGCACTAAGATTGTTTCCTTGTCTTAGCTATTGTAAATAGTGCTACAATAAGCATATGTTTCCTTTCAAATTAATGTGTTTGTGTCCTTTGGGTAGATTCCTAGCAGTGAAATTGCTGGGTCATATGGTAGATCCATTTTTAGTACTTTGAGAAAACTCCACACAGCTTGGAAAAGCACTTTTGGGGCCTCCCTGGTGGTGCAGGCATTTTAGCGCAGTGCTGTGAAGCTGTCCGCAGCCTCTGCAATGCGGGTTCGATCCCCGCCGGCCAGGGAGATATTCACATGGCGCATCAGACCTCTCCTGTCTCACCCACTGCTCCCCTCAGCAATGTATTTCAGTCAGTCTGCCTGTTCTGCTCCCTGCTCTGTCTCTGGTGAATCCTCTCACCCTCCTGCTCATCAGGCCTGTACCTGGGTTCTTGTATGTATGAATAAATAAATCTTAAAAAAAAAAAAGCACTTTTGGCATTTAATGAATCTTCCTTCATGTGATGTCAAACTGACAGGACCTACACCCCCTTCCCCTGACATCCTTTATCTCCTCAGCTCTTCTGCTGAAGAATTTGACCTTCACAAGCACAGGCTGCTTTGGGCGCTTTCTGACCCCCAGAACTTTGCCTGGTCACCCTACATCAATGATAGGAGCAGCTCAGGTTTTGTTTTTGGCAACATTTACCTGCATCTGCTCACTGACCAAAGTCCATGGTTTATCAAGGCTGACAGTTGGGCAGGAGCTCTGATTCCTCTTTAAGTGGTAATGCCTCATACCAACTTTCCCAGAGCAGTCTGTGTGATATTTGCCTATGTTGATGCATTGCACCAGCTTTACCACAGCTCCTGGGTGCTTCTGATGCTTGCAGATGTGACAGTGGCTCATGTGCCTTAAGTTTCTAGGTCTTCCTCAGTCTGGATGTCTTAACCTTTGAGTTACGTAACGATCATCCTTATTTCAAAGATTAAAAAAAAAAAAAGGGCTGGGCCTCCCTGGTGGTGCAGGGGATTGAGCACAGTGCTGTGAGGCTGTCCATGGCCTTTGTGGCGTGAGTTTGATCCCTGGACGGCTGGGGAGCAACCCACATGGTTCAGCAGACCTCTCCTGTCTCGCCGGCTGCTCCCCTCAGCACTGTATTTTGGTACATCTGCCTGTTCTGCTCCCTGCTCTCTCTGGTGAATCTTCTCACCCCCCGTGACTCTGGCCTGTACCCCACTTCTTCAAAAAAAAGGGCCTTTCTGGTGGTGTAGGGATTATGTTGCAGCGCTATCACTGGGAAGGCCTGAGTTTGATCTCCTGCCAGGGGGCTAACCCACATGGCACAGCAGACCTCTTCTGTTTCTCCCGCTGCTCCCTTCAGCAGTGTATTTCAGTGGATCTGCTTATTCTGCTTCCCACTCCATCTCTGGTGAATCCTCTCACCCCCCTACACATCTGGCCTACACCCCAGTTCTACAAAAAAAAAAAAAAAAAAAAAGAAATACCCAGGGCAATGTTCTGAGGTTCTCATCGAAAGAGGTTCTCATCTGAAGAAAATTGTGGAAGGAATTGAAGCCCAGGAGAACAAAGTTACAGACTCAGTAAACAGCTCTAGTTTGGCTTGAGTAAGAGAAAAATTACCTAAAGGTTGGGCAAAGAAGCAGCTGAATAATACATTTTAGGTTAACTGAGGGCTTTAGTGGTTCTGTGAAAGAATTTTAATTTATAATAAAGTTGATGAAAAAGTAAAACAACAGAAATATATTTCTCATGGTTCTCATGGCAGTCTAATCATGTGGTAGAAGGGTCCCAGTATGGATTTAAAAACATTAAAAAAAAATTGTAGTCACTGGCACAATAAGTTCTTGATAATTTGATTTAAGATGAACAGAGGTCCTGACCCTTCCTTGGAGAATGAGGATAAGTCTTGGGAATCAAAGCTTTTTCTAGTCTTTTTCTAGTTAAAGTGATTTCATGGTTAAATTGTTTTCATTTGGGCTTGTGACTATTTTGCTTCTGGAGCCATTCTTGTTTATGTTTCAAAAAACCATTAAGGGGTAGTTGCTGTGTTCTTTAAACTTCATGAAATTGTCTGAAACAAATTTTTAATGAGTAGTAAGTTCCTTATCAAATGCTCAATGTGCCACTTACTGTTTGAGTGTCATTAACATTTGAGGTTTCATGGAACAAGGAATTTCATCATTTACCATTTTTAAGACTCAAAGATACCTGAGTTCTGAGAAATGAATTGGGAAGTAATATTGCTTCGGAAGGCTCATTTCTGAACTAAAAGTCTAATTTATATGCTGAAGGAGTGAATTTATAGAGATGATTATAAATTCCCCGAATATATTCCCTGCTCAGTTCTTTTCTATACATAAGAGTGGTCAATTTCAACGCATAAACTTCGGAACTGAAGGATAGGGAATATTTGTAAGACTTCTCTCAATATTAAACCCAAAATAAGACTATTTGTAACTATGGTGATTTAAAAATTGAAATCAATCATGTTACTTTCCGAAGGGTCAAGTAGTCATTTGTAATCAGGACATGTTTATTGAATTTATATTTAAATGAGGTCCTAGTGGAAGATGTACTGATTGAAGTAGAGACAGATGGCATTTTCAAGAGTGATCATTTAAAAATTCTATGGTGTGTGTTTGTGGCTCTCCTTTTTGACTTTCTTTATAAGACATTGTCAATAAGCTTGGCTTAATCTTTTAAAATGAATTAATTAGTTTCCCAAAAGATTCCCCCAGGTGATTTCATACTTATTTCATTGATTCGACGATCTCCGTATTCATTACCACCCCAAGTCATCCAACCTGGCAGAAGTAGAATCACTAGGCAATTTTTATCTACTTCAGTTGACCAGTAGGTGGCATTGTCTGCCCTGTCTGCTATCTCAAATCCATTTTCCTCTTTCTGTGAACCTGAGTAGCAAGTCAGGTATTTGTTACATTCTTTTTGTATCCATTCTGGCTTGTCCAGTCTGATTTTTGAGCTCATCTGTGATCCCAGTAAGGATAACACCTTGGCAGTTCAAGTGTTTTTGATACCAAGATAGCTTTTCCTTGAAACCTTGGGGATTATATCAGGTGATCTCCAAGAGTATTCAGAGGGAATGCTTAATTCTACAAAACCAAGCAAAGTCCTCCAAGACCTGAAAGGCAGAGAAATGACTGAGCACTAAAGTGCTGCAGAGGTGATTATGCTTAATATTCTGTGAAAGTTATAGGTGACTTCATGCCAAGCA